CGAGGTAATCTGAACGGGAAAATGATAAAGTAATGATTACAAGAAAGAAATTTCCTGTCCGAAGATATGGAAGATCTATGAACCACCATACGTGTGACCTAGATCCGTTTAGACAATGATTTTCAAAAAAAGTAACAGGGAAACAAGCTAATACCCCAATACCCTATGGGATCATGACTACTTATATTTGGACAATGATTCTCATCGAAGCCACTGGGGATTGTATGGAATTATTATAGCCACAACCACTGATGCAAATGGAACATATTAATAGTAAATAATTTTGGAATTTTTGTACTATATGCAATTGATAATATGTTAGGGTATTTTTTATATATATTGGAGCCTGGCTTGTCAAGGGTGGGCGTGTTGCATTTTGTAAAAATTACATTTATAATCAAATTGTTTATTTTTTAAATCCTATGTATTTAAAATTATATATAAAATTATATTTATTTTTTGTAATTCCATATATTTTATTATATTTCTGACGATAGCTTGAATCTCTGACCCTTTTTAATGTCTTTTTTATTTTATAAAAGTTAAATTTCTTTGTCTTATAAAATTTCTCACTCTTACTTTTTTTTATCGAAAAAGAAATAAAAGATGTTATAAAAACTGTCTTCATTTGCAAAATTAAGTGTATCGCCTCATTAAGTAGTAAAAAATTTAGTAATGCAAAATAGAAATTTAATAAAATATTTTCCATGCCAATCACAGAAATCGAAATTACAAACTTTAGAAATCATACTTTTTCAAAATGAGAGGGATTGCAGACCAATATTTCTTTTGATTTTAAATGGTGAAATTTCGAGTTTAGTATAAATGGATAGAATCTGCGCCGATGTTAACCTTCTGAGAAAAATATCAGAATAAATTTAATCAAAACTGAGTTAGAACCCTATTATAAATAGGCTAAGATTTATGATTTGGATATAATATTTTATGACAAAATTAAAATTTAATAATCATGGTTGAATATTTTAATCTTGGTAAATGAGATTTTTACAATCGCAACCAAAAATGGGAATAGAATTTCTAGCAAAATGTCATTTCAAGTTTTTATGTACAATAATACTAATATTCTTATGCAACTTTGATTTTAAAAAAAAGTTTAATTGATAATTATCACATAATATAATTTCAAAAAGATTGCTCCGTGCTCAAATTATTAATTTAATTTTGACAACTCTTTTGATCCTTCATATATGGCCTAGCTCACAACATTTTTTTCAAGTTCATAGCAAAATTTTTTCGCTCTTCAGTATCACGTAAGATTTTAAATTGTATAATTTTCATATATTTAGAAATGAGTCAAAAGGGCAAAATGGCCGAAATATAAAAAGATAGAAATTTAATTTTCAATATTTGTAGTTTTTTAATTTAAAAATACGTTAATTTTATATTTATGTCTGATAGGTTCAATCGACATATTATTATTATACGAAATAGGTTTTAAAAAGTTCAAAAATCCCGAAATTTATATTTGCAACTTTTTGCAAACAATTGCAATATTATTGTATTTTGACAATAATAAAGGTGATAAAGTGATAAATTTTTCCCTGACAGTATATCGGTGCCAAATATAACGTAATAATACTACATCAAATTTTGAATATTTTGTTAGAATTCATTTATAATAACTAAATTTATAGGTTAAACTAAAATCCAAAGACTTAGATAGAAAATCGTGATTATATACTGTGTCTCACCAGGGTAGTACATATTCTAACTTATGCGAAATAGAAAATGATAATAATTGTAACTACATCAAATTAAAAACAACTAAGCCTAAAAAACAAAAGAATGGCACAAAGAATCAAAAAATTAAATTCCCTGGATGTGCTCTGAAATGTAAATTTTATTATTAGTTAAAAAATTAAATAATTATTTCATTTTACCTTAATTACCAACAAATACTAAACTCCTAAAAATAACAGACAGATTTGAATATTTAGTTAGAATTATTACATTAAGAATAACTAACTTTATAATTTAAAGGTTGAACTAAATCCGATCCTAAGATCTATAATATTGATGGCAAATGTGATAATATATTGTGTCTCAGTGGATTTTTGATTACATATGTTCTTCCCCAGCATCTACTAATAATGATTTTCGATATTATACTTTTAAAGTTTTCTAGGAGATATCAAGCGAGATTCCCCAATTCTTTTTTTAAAGCGGTTTAGAAATGTGCAGCCCGATCCTATGAAAGCGGTATCTATAATAGTTTTTGAGTGCTAACTGAGTATTTCTTCTGGCTTGGGTGAAATCATTGTTAAACGGCTCGATTTGGGCCGATTTTTAAAAACGGCTAACTAAATATTTTAGCCAGAAAAATATTAGCTAAATCTCGATATTTTGTTAATAGATGCTCAAACCTTTGTGCCACCTATGGGCAAAATCTTTAGACTTGCGTAATTCTTTTCTGGATAAAATGTTTAGCCGTTTTTAAAAATCGGCTAAAATCGAGTTGTTTAACAATTCTAGGTGAAATAAGAAATGACAATAATTATACTAAAAAACTTAAAAGAATGAAAATAAACATACTGACTGAATGCGCCCTAAATTGTAAATTTTATTTGAGGTTAAAAAATAAAATACTTATTTAATATATTAATCATTTATTTTTTTTTTTAATATATCTGTTTTTAATACTATTTCAAGTAAAGTTTGATTTAATATGGCACCTTACCAACAGATAACTTAGCATATACTAATCTATAGCAAGTTATTTTGTTTTTCCATTTATCAAATTAGAAAAGTCTATCTCATATATTCTGAAATGTAAGGAGGAATTAATCAATGATTTTGGCATAAATAAAAAAAAAATATATGTCTATTGTGACTATGCCCTAAATTAACATATATTTTAGGAATTTTCGAAGAACCCCTGTTATCAAAAATATAAGTTATTTATAAATTCATGAGTATAAAAATATATGCTTTGCATAGTTTAATTAAAAAAAAAGTAAAGTTAAAATATTTTTAAATATTTCTTCCTAGTATATTAATATTTTATCATGCGAAAATTTAAAGTAGATATTCTTACATTTTTTAAATCTAAAACATTGATGGATAAAAATTTATAGGCCAAATAAAATTATATTTCATTTATCTCTACTAATAACTATAATTAAGTAAAATTTCTAGACCATATGAAATGTTCAGATATCCAAAGAGAGATGACTGGAATTATTTCTGACACTTATTGTGGTACAAAAAAAGAAAGCATGCCCGACAAGATGGAGCCTCCGACATCAAGTGATTTTTAAGAAATATCGGAACTGAACCAGATATTTCATCTGAAGGTTACATAACAATTTTATACACTATTTTTCAAAAAAATAATATGGATTTGGTTGAAATTATAGAAACCCAAAAGATAATATCGATCAAGAATTTTACGAGAGTGTGATTGTTGAGGCGAAATTATAAGATTTAAAAATTCGCAAGCCTCTCGACTTGCATTTAGACAAATAAATCACTCCAGTATTAAGGTGGACTCATCTGGGGATTACTCTAAAATAATGAATATTACTCCAATTTTGGATACATTTTTCAAATCAATCAACGATTTGTGATTTATCAAATGGCTCTATCCCATTTACAAATACTATTATACATAGAAATTTGCTGAGAATATAAATGTATCTGAAAGTCAATTAGTTTCAGAATTAAAATTAAAATTAATATCCCCCAAGAAGCTCATGAAACATTACATACTTTAAAATATATAGCCTTTTCCAAATATATTATGTATATTTTGTCAACAATACCAATTAGTACAAGCAAAAATGAGAGGAATTTTTCTTCATTATGGAGAATATAAATTTATCTCAAAAGTACGATATCAGAAAATCAATTGTCCGCTTAGTATACATAAAAATTTAATCCCCAATACAGAAAAACCCTTTGAAAAATTAGAGCAGTGGTATAGAAGAATAAATTTTGACCAATATTTGATTAACTTTTAAAATCATTATATAATATTTAATTCTAAATTTATTGACCCGGTTTATATATAGCTATAATATTGTTAAAAATAATCATCATGTTTATATTAAATAAGGAATTATAAAAATATAAATTAAAAAGATTTTTCTTTAAGATTTATATATATATATATATATATATATATATATAGTTTATAATTAATTTTTTATCAAATTTATAAAAATCGAAAAGAACTGTTATAAATTTTAAACCGAACCATGAATTTATTCAAAAAAATCGAAATGGAACAAAACCTTTATAAAATTTCAAACTAAAAATCGAAACGAACAGAACCGCTATATTTAACGGTTCGAAGCCGATTCGTTCTAATCTAATAAATTTTTAATGTTCCAAAAATAACTATTATAATATTTAAAAAATTCTCCTCCCCCTTCCTGTAAAAAATTCTCGACTAAGCGCCTGAATTATAAATATTTTAGTAATTATAATTAAATATATTTTATTTTCCATAATATGTGATAATTGAATATTTATGATTGTCAAGTAAGATAGCTTATTTATAACTATAATAATAACATAATTTATATCACCATGATTTAATAATATCAATGATTAAATTTAAAATTGAAACATATTTCCCAACCCGAAATAACAATTTCTCGTCAAGACCCCTCCATTAAATAAAAAATACAATTCCCTAATCAACCCAGCAGACCATTATTATGTAGCAAAGGTAGGCACAAATATTGGCATAAGTTTCAGAATTTATATAACCAAAGTGATTCGCCAACTTTGTGTTTATTATTTAAAAATATATATTATCCTTAACTTTTACCGAATCTAATATTTGATATAAATATAGATCAGAAGTTTTCTACATTAATGATTTTTTCTTAAAAAATGGTAAATTTTCTCTCTTTCCTTGAATTGAAGAGTAAAAGTAATCATACTAATCTCTAATAATAAATTTTTAAAATGAAAATATAGAAAATAAAAAGAAAAAATATTAAGAGAATATATATAAAAAAAGAAAATAGCACCTGATTATCAGTGAAGGCAGATAAATTTGAGACTGTGTTAAGCGTGCGAACCAGTAACTCTATCCTGGGTTCGGTCAATTCTTTTAAATCCTCCTCGCAATCATTCCCATTTCTCCAGGAATTCTTTGTATCATTCACGCAGTTTCTGAAGTCAGAATGAAAGAATTGATGTAAAATTTCGTCTTCCAAAGCAGATTTCAACACCTCAACATAATTCATTGCTTTTTTATGATCTAATTTATGGGCTTCGTAATGGTTAGGTGTGAATGCCTGATAACAAGTTTTATATATTATAGTTAAATGGAAAAAAAGTGGGTGTTCGTAAATTATCCTGCTAAAGATATATAAGTATTAGTTGAGGGGTGGTGGCTGAAGGTATTTAATGTTATTTAAGAATTATGTATTTTGAATTAATATGAATTTCAACCAGCGACGTAAAATTATTCCAATATAAAAAACGTCATGAGTTACAGGCGTTATTTTAAGGTGGGGATAGTTATTTTTATTTAAAAAAAAATTGTTCTTAACTTCTTTTCGATGTCATAAACATGCATCTATTAATATAAACAATCACTAAATATTCATTGAATATAGAAGTATTCTGACTAACCGACCCAAAAAATTAAGTTTTTAAGAAATTTTTAAATAAGTGTGAGCTTAAAAATTTTATATTCAATTCTATTGCAATTCCAAAAGTATATAAAATATTTTTATTGTTAAATCACTTTTATATAATAAGTAACAACATTAATCTATATATATAATAAGTAATAAACAAATATATTATGAAATTTGAATAAATATTTAAAATAATATTTAACAATATATATCGAAGATTTCTTTTTAGAAATACCAAAATTTCCAATTTATCAGAGGTAAACTTGCGGCGATGGTAACTGTCAATATCACCAGCTTCACTAAAAAGATTCTGAAGAGATTATCGCACACTTTTATAAACAGAATGCGCAAAAAAATAACAATATGGCAGAATGGTTATTATTAATTATTAAAAAAAATATGGATTTCGATTTTATTAATAAAAATAAATTATTTTAGATATAACTCTTTTTTTAAAATTTATAACATTTAATTTTTGTTAAAGAAGCCATTTATATCGGATCGGCAAATTTTATAATATTGGCCGATAACCGATATTTTAAAATAGGTGAAATAACGGCCCTATCCGATCTGAAAAAAATATCGGTACATCCCTAGAAAAAATAAAAACCAAAATCCGACCAAAATCACTTTTTTAAATGTAGGGCCCAACCCCAACCTTATTTAAGATGTTTTTTAAAAAATATTAAATTTTTGGGCCAATTTGGCGAAATCTTTAGGCCGTGTCCTCGTTAGTCTTATTTTTGGAATTGGGCTAAGCAGATTTTGAGCTAAGACATATTATTTTGGGTTGTTTTAAGTGTGTACACTAAATAAATATTTTGGGTTGAAAAGAGTCACAAAGACACTTCACCTACTTAAATCTAAATAACCCCATGTCAAATCGACCTAGAAAACGAGATTTTAGGACGACCATATCTAAAATAAACAAAACTTGGCATAATAGTTAACTAAGATATATATTTTAGTAAAATAAAAATCGTAGAACGCTAGCTAAATTGAAAATCGCTAAATGCGTGATTAAATTATATCTTTTTTTGACAATTTATATATCATTTTATAGCCCCTAAAATTCTACATTTGAAAATATTAAAAAATTCATAGTGCATTTGAAAATATTAAAAAATTCAGTGTTGTTTTCTAATTTCCCGTAAAAATAAAATATTAACATGGTTGAAAAGGGATTTTTTGGGTGTTGATATTCGCTAGGAATTATTACTTTCATATTTAACCCTTCAATACTCTGGTGGGGTATATGAAACCCTAGACATGCTAGAAATGATATTACATAAAAACGGTTAAATATTATGATCTGGATTCTTCAGTAGCTTCATCAAATATATCTTAGAATCTATTCCAAATTTCATATATTTCGGTTGAGTAGTTTTTAAGATATAAGCATTTTATTACTGATTGGGGTTTGTGAGACCCCACCAGAGTAAATTTGTAATTTTTTAAGAAATTTTTTTTTAAAATTATAATATATACTACTATATTATAAAATTTATTAAAACAAAATTTAAATATCTTTTATTTTGATTGAGATATATGAAAAAGAAAACTTAAACATTTTTTTTGGTGGAGTTATTTTATTCTTATTTTCACCATCTGGCTCATTTCTCAAATTATTTTTGGATCTTATCTTGCACGTTGGTCATAGACCTGCCTAAAATGAGCGAACGTGAATTATATGAAGGCCTATCCTTCATATAATTTAGCCGATTTTTTTCTCAGGATACCGACAAACCTATTACCCAGAAAATAATTTATGAGTGGAACTAAACCCTCTACCAATAAAGTAGCAAATTAAAAATTAGCAGGAAGTAAAAATATAAATAAGTTATAATGAGAAGTAGAATAAAAATAGAAAGTCATTTTAAAAAAAAATCTTCCAAATACATGGTCTAAAATATTAATTTAAGTTAAATATTTTAATAAGGGACATTAAAGGTGCCATTATCAATTTACTAAATAACCAAATGCAACTCCATATCTTTAAGAATTAACTTATATCTTGTATAATATAGTTTAATTTAATCACCAATAATTAAAAACAATTTAATTACTTTAAAATAGAGGCTTGAACTCTAAGTTATTAGTTCTAATAATGATATAGATTCCTTTGGGAAACTCCTTTACAAGAAATATAAGTCCTCAGCATGTATTCGTCATATGTTCATATATAAGTCTCAAAATATGTTTGAAAACTTTCCTGTCAATCGAAGCTCTCTTTAAGAGATCCCAAGATAAATCTAATTCAGTCAAGGACCTTAAAATTCTCCCAAACCAACTGCCTTTATGGAATAAAAAAGGTTTAAGAGCAATGTCTTCTAGGGATTGATCTATAAGTGCCTGATGAATTAAATTATTCGAGGGGTGTCTCAAAATATGGCCCACCAACTCAATTTTCCTATATTCTATTGTTTTATGAATAGGACGGATATCGCAACTCGCCCATAACATATAATTAGTAGTGTTTCGCGGATAAAAGGTCCTAGTTAAATATCTTAAACATTTGTTTATAAAAACTTGCATCTTGTTATTATCAGATATATTATCGTTTCACGTTTCCATACCATAGTATAAGGAAGCTAATATTAAGACTTTAAAGAGTCTTATCTTTAGAGGAATAGATATTTGCCTAGATGACCAAATCTTCATCAAGGACCTGTACTCAGCGTCTACATGAGCGGGAGGGGTAGGAACAGTTTGCATCCTATTCTTTTGAGGGGGTAGGCTGCTTTAATGGGGATATGATAAATTTTTTGGGGGTTATCTATTAAATTTTGAGATCAAATAGGACAAAATTTATTGCTGTAAAAATTAATACTTTTATTATAGAATTATTATAATACAATTCATCGACCAAATCTATATATTGCAAACAATCATACACATTGTTTTCCAAATAAAACTTTCTGCTATCCTTTGTAATCTAATTTAAAAGGTTTAGATATTTTAGCAAGCTCATAATGCCATAATAATTAATTCATTGTAAATAATGGAGGTTTTCATTGAATTTATTATCTAAAAAATAAATTCTTTATATTCAATCGATAGTTGGTAGTAGAGATAGATTAATTTAAGTTATCCTTTATTAATTCTCTGAAAAGTGTATCAATAAATTAAAAAGGTGAAAATAATAATAGAGAGACACCGCCGCCGAAGGCGGCGATAATTTTTAGGGGGGTAGGCGGTTTTTGAAGGGGCTTTGCATCCAGTGAAAATCCTATCATGTAGATGCTGCCATTCAATTTAAAGTGTTGATCTTTCTTTGTACCACCTCTTATCCAAAAAGACCCCTAAATATTTTAGAATATCCACTTCTGTAATCGTATTACAATCAATATTTAGGGTCACCTGTGAAGAAGTATAAAATGATGTCATCTTCGTCTTTTTATTTAATATCAGACCAAAGTGTCCCGCCTTTACAATGATACAGTTAATAACTGATTGGATGTCTGACACCGATTTATCTACAAGGCATAAATCATCTGCGAAAGCGATAATATTTAAATTTCCTGAGGACCACTGAGCCGAATGTAAATTTATAACTTTTAAAATAATATAATTTGTAATAAAGTTGAATAAGAGAGGTGATAGAACACAACCTTATTTCAAACCCTTCATTATCGGGATTTTAGGAGATTTGCGGCCAGCATGAATAATATGAATTGAATAATCTTTATAAATTAGTTCCAACAAACTTATCAAAATAATCGGGGTACCCACCTCCTCTAATGTCCTCCAAAGTTTTGAGAGTATTATCGAATCAAAAGCTTTTTTAAAATCCAAAGCCACAATAATTAAAACTGACTCTTCCGAATTAACGTTCTATCTAGTTGAATTTTTACTGATAGAATCGCCTCTAAAGTGTTTCGACCTTTCCTAAACGAGACCAATGAGTCTATAAAAAGTGGTTCAAGTAGCGGTCTTAGCCTATTTAATATAATATTTGCAAATATTTTATATACCACCGAATTTAGTGATATTCCTCTCCAATCTTCAAGAAATTTGGGATCTTTCGTTTTAGGGAAGTTAATTAAAGTGGCAGTGATCCAATCATTCGGACACACCCGTTCAAACCATAATCTGGATATAATATGAAGAAGAATCTCTGCAGATAGTCTAGAGTCAGTCTTCAGGTGTTCACTATATAATAAATCTTGACCACAAGCTTTATGATTATTCAGTTTCTTAATTATTCCAACTAGTTCAGCTTTAGTTGTGGAAAAATCCTGGCATCATTTGAGGGGGATTGAAACGTAAATGAACTTTGTTGAACATTACTTAAACTAGGTTGTGGGGGCCAAATTTTCGAAGTTAAGGTTGTGTTCTATCGCCTCTCTTATTTAACTTTATTACAAATTATATTATTTTAAAAGTTAGAAATTTACATTAGGCTCAGTGGTCCTCAGGAAATTTAAATATTAACGCTTTCTCAGATGATTTATGCCTTGTAGGTAAATCGGTGTCCGACATCCAATCAGTTATTAACTGTATCGTTGTAGAGGCGGGACACTTTGGTCTGATATTAAATAAAGAAAAGACAAAAATGATGACATCATTTTATACATCTTCACAGGTGACCCTTAATATTGATGGTAATACGATTACAGAAGTGGATATTCTAAAATATTTAGGGATCTTATTGGATAAGAAAGGTGGTACAAAGAAAGATCAACACTTTAAATTGAATAAAACTAGGGTAAAGTACAGGTCCTTGATGAAGATTTGGTCATCTAGGCAAATATCTATTCCTTTAAAGATAAGACTCTTTAAAGTCTTAATATTAGCTTCCTTATACTATGGTATGGAAACGTGAAACGATAATATATCTGATAATATCAAGATGCAAGTTTTTATAAACAAATGTTTAAGATATTTAACTAGGACCTTTTATCCGCGAAACACTACTAATTATATGTTATGGGCGAGTTGCGATATCCGTCCTATTCATAAAACAATAGAATATAGGAAAATTGAGTTGGTGGGCCATATTTTGAGACACCCCTCGAATTATTTAATTCATCAGGCACTTATAGATCAATCCCTAGAAGACATTGCTCTTAAACCTTTTTTTATTCCATAAAGGCACTTGGTTTGGGAGAATTTTAAGGTCCTTGACTGAATTAGATTTATCTTTCAATCCAATGAAACTAGTGTAGGCTTAGCCTTTTTTCGCTCCATTTTAAAAAGATCAGAAGCAAGTTCAAACATATTTTGAGACTTATATATGAACATATGACGAATACATGCTGAGGACTTATATATCTTGTAAAGGAGTTTCCCAAAGAAATCTATATCATTATTGGAAGTAATAACCTAGAGTTCAAGCCTCTATTATAAAGTAATTAAATTGTTTTTTAATTATATGTGATTAAATTAAACTATATTATACAGGATATAAGTTAATTCTTAAAGATATGGAGTTGCATTTGGTTATTTAGTAAATTGATAATGGCCCCTTTAATATACCATATTGAAATATTTAACTTGAATTAATATTTTAGACCATTGTATTTGGAAGATTTTTTTTTATAATGACTTTCTATTTTTATTCTACTTCTCATTATAACTTATTTATATTTTTACTTCCTGCTAATTTTCTAATTTACTACTTTATTGATAGAGCGTTTAGTTCCACTCATAAATTATTTTCTGGGTAATAGGTTTGTCTGTATCCTGAGAAAAAAATCGGCTAAATTATATGAAGGATAGGCCTTCATATAATTCACGTTCGCTTATTTTGGGCAGGTCTATGACAACGTGCAAGATAAGATCATATACCAGACAACAAGCTTAAATATTATAATATGGAATTATTTATCATATCTATTTCTCTGTAAAATTAGATAAAAATAAGGTGACTCAATTATGGAAATCTGATGGGTTGGGAATTGAGATATTTTGAGCAACAATGACACTCAAAAGATTCAGAATTCTAATTCATACAATAAGATTTTATGACATATTAACAAGAGAAGAGAGAAAAATGGTAGACAATGCAACTCACATTAAATATTTTTCAAGAATTTGTTGATAACTGCTACAGATCTTATACAATATCAGAATATGCAACCCTAGATGAAATGCTTCCAGCATTTCATGGTAAATGCCCATTCAGGCAATACATGCCAAATAAACCATCAAAATATGGCATAAAACTATACTCCTTATAAAAAAAACAAAATATTTTTGTCAAATATGTAAAATAAATATATGTTTAGAACACATTAATATTTTATGTAATATTTAGCATGTCAAATTTAGCATATTTCAATGTTCTATATTTTTTATATATTAAAATGTATAAGGTAATATTTTTTTTATATTGAAGAATAAAGATCCATATTATGAATTATCATGATTATGTGATGGATAAGTTATTTTTTTAATTTTATTTTAAATTTAAAAAAAGTAAGCTTTTTTAAAAAAATTTTGGCACAAATTATAATTATCCTCAACAAATATTTTATCAAGCTTAAGGTTAGATCTATCTTATATCCAAATATCCAAATATCAAATGAAAATAATGAATATAACTAGAGATATATATACATTTGAAATTGCGGTCTATTAAACCCCACCCGAGTACTAACGTCATCTTTTTCAACGAAGTATTGAAAAGTTAACTGTTTCATAAAATTCGATAGCCATTTTTGTTTTTAGTCTTATTTACATTTTTATTATTTTTTTAAATAAAGTATTATATTGATATTAAAATTTAAAAAATCCATTAAGTATGACCAATATGATGTCCTGGGGCAATATACAAGCAGGCAGCCCATACATATACGTTTATTATTAGGACGCTATATTGTAAAATAAACATATTTTAAAATTTTATATACAAACTACTTTAAAATAAGACCTATTGTTTTTATTGTATTCCATTTTAAATTTCCTGATGCGATAATTTGTCCTGTCGCTGTTATGAGATCTATTATCGATATTACAGTGTTGTGCAGATTTGATGGAAAAAATTTTCATAATTTTTAATTTGCAAATAAAATTATTTGAGTTACAAAATATCTACAATAACATTTTATATTCTTATCAATTCTTACAAATTAAATTATTTTATTTACAAACGAATTAAAAAATGGAAATGTTTCAATTAAATCTGCACATCTATTTGATTAATGGGCAGCCATCTCTTTTCCTGAATTGTGTGATAAAAGATTTTTTTTATTACAGTGGCTAACCACCAAAAATCGTCATAAATACATATGACCGGTCTTTAGGACCAAGGTCTGAACTAGTCTTTTTTTCTAAACATGTGTATGACGATTTTTGATCCACACCCACAGTACTAAAAAAGAAAGAAATTACTGATGAGATATATTTCCTTTTTACATCCCCAGGGAGACCATTGCATCCTTCTTTTATCCTACAAGTGACATCAAGTAATAACGGTAGTAGATCCACAATAGCAACAGAATATGTCTACAAATTATAGCCTCAGGAAATTCTAGTTTTTATAATAGTTTGTAGATAAAATTTTAAAATGTGTTCATTTTACAAATAGGGTCCTAATAGTTACCTATCATATCTGCATGGGCTGCCTGTTACATATCGCCCCAGAACATCTTATACTTAATAGATTTTTTAATTTTAATACCAATACAATTCATATTTTTAATAAATATATTATAATGATTATCAAATATAACGCCCTATATTATTTATTTTTCTTTATAAAAATTTAAATAAAATTAAAAAAACAAAATGGCTATAGAGAATTTTGATTAAATAGTTTAATATAAAGGTAATAAACATTTATAAACGCCCCAAAAAATCCCTTCTCAGCACTGTTAATTTTGTATTCACTGGAAATTAGATTTGGTATCTATTAATTTTTTTTTGATCTTCCAAATGTAAAATTTTAAGAGCTATAAAATGATATATAATTTGTAACTCTATCTTAAGTATTTTTTTAAAAAGAGATTTAATGAAATCACGCATTGCGCGATTTACTTTGAAAGCGTATATCTTTGTATCTGGCTGAGCTAACGCTCTATAATTTTGATTTTATTAACATTTATAAGTAACATGCCAAGTTTCATTTATTTATGAGATGATCGTCCGAAACACTGGTTGATTTTTAATGGAATGACCCCTCTTTATTTTTAAGTTATTTAGAGGAAGCTATATATGTGGCTAAATAGATTACTCTTTAGAAATAAAACAAATTAGAACACGGCCTTAGGACTGAAAATGAATAAGTATTAAATTTTATGTTTGCTTAAAATATATTAGAGAAATAAGGGGATTCAATAAAATTTCCTCGTATACCTGATTATTTTCAACTTTAGAGGGTGTCTTATTATCATTGCCCAATTTGTAGTGTGGTTTTTTTGTTCTAGGAAAAGTGTTAACACTAAAAAGCTCCTCATTGTCATTAATTTTATTTAAATCTGGAGTAGTAGGTAATTTAACTTCACCATGTTCAGAGTAGAGTGGGAAGGAAGCAAAGGATGAACGTATGCTTTGAAGAGAATTTGATAGAGGTGAGGATATACTTCTAGTTTTAACCAAATTACTATTTACATTAGGTTCAATTTGAATAATATGAAAACTATTTTTGTCCTGAACATATTTTATCTTATCATGGGGAACGTGATTTGAATGATCGGGAAATATGTGAATGTTAGAAATCGAGTTTTTAAACGTGTTTTCAATCCCAGTGTCAGTGTTTGGTGTAACTTTCAAAAGAGGTGATAGTATGCTTGGGGCTGATTGATTTTGTGCTTGTATCTCTCTTTCTAAAGCTATAAAGTCTTTTATTTCCTCCTGCTCTTGTATATCGATAAGGAGTGATGATGAATCATTTATAACTTGAATTATTTTCAAAATTTAAGAAACATTTTTCAATAAACACTAAATAATGTAAATATTAAAGTATGGTAAATAATGAGTCTAGGTTTTTTTTTTCATTGGTAAGAAATATCGATTGTAATAATAAAATTTCAAGAATTTAATATTATATAATAAATTCCCCATTTTATATACAAATGGTTGAGCTTATCATTTTATATAAGTAAAGATTAGATCTTTAAAAATATTGATGATAATCATTTAAAAATTTACAGCTTTAACTTTTAATAATAAGGTGTCAAAGATTATAAATTTTAAATCTGTAGAATAAAATGTATACCATGAAGATGATTTATGAAGAGGACTATAGAAAATATAATTTATCTATCTAAAATAAATAAAATATAATTGTTTGAATTTTAGTTTTACAATAAGGTCCACCTTTAAAACCCTATCCTTTTTTCAATAATATGATACATTTTATTTTCGACAGATTCATTTTTATAAAAAAAAATTGTTTATCTTTTATCATGTTTTTATAACATGGGTGAGCCGCAGAGTTGTTAAAGTGTAGCGCGCTACTTAAAGCGCTATCTTTTTTGGTAGCTATAGTTAATAGCTGCTACTTTTTTTGTAATCTTTAATTTTTTAGCGCGCTACTTAGCTACTTTTAAAAAATATAATGAAGGTAAGTATAAACATGAAACTTTAAATATAATTGTTGTATATTATAATATTTTTTTTTATATTTGTAATGTCAATCATTTTAACTTAGATTTTTGTGATATTTTTTTTTTATCGTTTTTGATGAAAAATGATTTTTTTTATTACTCATTAATTTTTTTTTATGAAAAACTTATTGAAATGGATTAATTTTTTTTTATGAATATTAAAGAAATAAAAGTGTATAAAAAACCCATACGTTTCTTTACGATTTTTGTAATTTGAATAAGTTATTTCTATATTTAGAACTTTGCCAGTTTGGATTGTCTGCTCAATTTTGATAGTTATTTTTATTTAGTTTGTCATTTCTATTTCTGTTTTTTTAATTTCGTCTTTTTTGACAGTTGTTGACCGTGACTACAGGATAGTCTTGATACCAAAGTTATTCGTTATTATAAGGTAAAAACAATATTTTTATTTTATATTTTGTATCTCTCCTCAGGACACAACGCAATCACATTTTTGTTAAAATTTTTTTAGAAATTTAATTAATTTAAAAAAAAAGAAGAAAAAAACGTATTTTTAAATATTCTAAAATTACTTATTTACCACGGCCGATTTAAAGTAATATAAATTTTTGAGATAATGAGATGGGCTTATGTTTAATTTTGATATTGAGCCTAGCTTATTTAACAAAATTTCGGGGTATCGTATTACTTATCAAAATTTGTATAAAATGGTTGATAAATTTGATGTAAATAATTTGTTAGTGACAATATTATTATTGGTCATAATATATGGGTTGTCTATAATATTAAGATTTTTAATCGGAAAATGTACCTTGGTTGTAACCAAGGTATATGGTAATTGGAAAAAAGACACTCCAGTGTCGGCTGATTGTTGGGAAGAAATTTCGGTCTTGGAAAGTATTTTAAATGTGGTTTTAAATGAAATCAAGAACGGCAGACCAGAAATAGTAGAAACTTTGGAATGTAATAACGATGATCGTTTGGATATTGTGGAGAGATCTGTAGTTATCCTCCAAGAATTGAAAGAAATAAAAGAAGTGATTAAGATTATATATCAAGATATAAATAAATTGGTTATTGCGAATAGTAATGGTAATAAAGGCCAAATATGTGGTCCGACATGGTCAAATGGAAAAAATATCTCCGTTGAAAAAAATGGTTTTTCTGGTAATAAGAAAATCTTAGAAGATTTGAAATGTACCCGCTGAGGGTATAGGGGCCACAAGGTAGAGACCTGTGTGGTCAAGGTTTTCGTGGGGTCTTTCCGTTAAAGAAATTGACATTAGAAAATTCTAATGTTAGAAAAATTTCTGGTACCAACACGAATAAATGTGAGGTTTTACGATCAAATTATGGTAAATCCCGTTTGTGCTTTAAATGTAACAAACTGGGACATGTAGCCATAAATTGTACCAAAAATTGACTATATGATTGCAGGTGAGGTGTAATCATATAGTAAGTAGGAGATCGGGAGGTAGAAATAATAATGAAGTAAATAACCATGCTGAAATGAGATATGATTCTCGTAAAAGCCGTGGTTTTAACAGAAATTTTTTTTATCCTGATGATAAACATAAAAATAATGAAGATTCTAATAATTTTAAATGGGAGAAATATTCTTAAGGGTATTGTTAAATATTCCGATAAAAGGGATGTTAATACTTTCAGATGGGAAAAATATCCCAGTTATATTGTAAAAAAATATATGAATATTGTTAATGAACCACTAAACTCCGAGTTGAATTTATGTTCAAATGGGAATTCTCATGAAACTGATGTTTCAAATGAGATTAATATTGATCAGTCAATTAAAACATATGAGATTTTAATGACTGAGAGATTAGTCGAACCTTGTCCTTGTCCAAGAGTTATTGTAAGAGTTGACTCGAGGGACATCGACATGTTGTTCAACACAGGGGCTAGCATATCTATAATGTCTAGAAGAAATTATTATAAGCATTGGCCTGGGGGTAAACTTGAAAAAGAATCTATGTGTAGACAATTTGATGGGTCTGAAATTGTAATTTTGGGAAAAACTAAGTTGGGATTAATTATCCATGATACCACGTTTTCCCTAGATTTATGGGTAGTAAAGAAAGATGTGGAAACCATCATGGGGTGGGATTGGATTGTTCAGTTAGGTCCTTTCAATAATTATTGGAATATTTTTGCCATACATAAGGGTTCGGCCTTAAATGAGACTAAAAACAAAAATATTGCTAATAGTGCTCGAGAAAAAATTTATGAAATAGAAGGGAAGGAATTAACCGTAAAAGAAGAGAATTCAACCCTTAATTCTGATAGATATGTAAATTCCACGGAATTAATGGTTAAGGACAATATTAGCATTAATGAAAACACAATGGTTGCTATTGATATTCATGAATTACATAAAATGCGTGAAAATATATCTCTTTTAATGAAGAAATATGAAATAATTTTCGAAGAAAAGTTAGGATGTCTTAATGATTATCAGGTGGATGTAAAATTAAGGGAGGGATTTTCACCTATTTTTTAGCGTGTCGACGAGTTCCTTTTGAATGGAAAAAGGAAAAAAGTTGGATCAATGGGTTAAAGATGACATTATTGTTCCAGTGGAATATAGTGTATAGGCAACCCCGTTGGTACCGGTTAAGAAGTCAAATGGTAAATTGAGGCTCTGTGCTGATTTCAGAGTAACCTTAAATCGATGGGTAGCAGAGGTTAAATATCCGTTACCTCGAATTGAGGAAATTTTGGCTCAGTTAAAGGGAGCAAAATATTTTTCAAAGGTTGATTTTTCGTCAGCCTATCTACAATTACCTTTGAGGGAGGAAATTCGTAAATTATTGACGATAACGACTCATAAAGGGTTGTTCGCTTTTTGTAGATTACCATTTGGGTTGAGTGTGTCGGCCCCTATTTTTCAGCGTACCATGGCGTCCGTTTTCCAAGGACTAGAGGGGGTATTTTATTATATGGATGACGTACTGATTACAGGGATGACGCCTGAACAGCATAACCGACGTTTGAAGGAAGTTTTTAAGAGAATTCATGGTAAAGGTTTGAGAGCCAGTAAGGAGAAAAGCATTTTGGGCGTTTTGAAGAATATATTAAATTTGAAGCAGCCCAATAGTAAGGCTGAGGTGCAGTCCTTTTTGGGTATGGTAAATTACTACCATCGTTTTATCGAGGATTTTGCGAAGGTAGCTGCTCCGTTATATGAGTTATTAAAAAAGGGTGTTCATTTTGATTGGAAAGTGGAACAACAAGAAGCGTTTGAAATTTTAAAGGGAAAAATTGAGGAAGAGCCAATTTTAGTATGTTTCAACAATGATTTAGAAATCATATTAGCTATTGATGCATCTAACAAAGATGTTGGAGGAGCCTTATTACATTTAATTGATGGTGTGGAAAGACCCATCCTTTTTTTCTCGCGAGTTTTTAGGGATGTAGAAACGAGATATTCTGTGATTGAACAGGAGGCCTTGGCCGTGATTTTCGGTTTGACAAAATGTCGTGAATATTTGATTGGTAAAAAATTTGTAATTTTACCGATCACAAACCTTAATCCACTTATTCCGAAAGGATAATAGGGAGTTGATGTTATCTCCTCGGTTGCAGCGTTGGTTATTATTAGTGGGCAGTTTTAACGTGGAGGTTAGATATCGTCGAGGCAAAGAGAATCATTTGCCTGATATTTTGTCTAGGTTAGGTTCTGGCTGTGCAGATCCGGAAATAAGTGATAGGATAAGTATTGATAGAGAGAAGGCTTTAGTGCGTACTCTGTCGTATATTTTAAAAGGGGGTCCTACCAATTGGGAGGATTTGAAAACAAATACTGTGAACGACAAAGATCTAAGTCAAGTAAAATTGAGTTTAAAAGGAGAATAACCTTGAAAAACAAATGATTCCTATAAAAAAATACAAAAAGAATTGTCTATTGTTGATGATTGTATTATGAGGGGAAACAGGGCGGTAATTAATTATAAATTACGGAGCAAATTTTTGAATTTATTGCATGCCGGACATCAAGGTCCAGACAAGATGAAATCTTGGGCTCGGGAATATGTATGGTGGCCTGGTATGGGCAATGATATTGAACGGATTACCAGGAAATGCGTTCCTTGCAATACCTGTGCTCCTATGCCCTGTAAAGAGGTAGGGCAAGTTTGGCCTAGAACAAAGAAACCCTGGGAACGTATCCACATTGATTTCTTTGACCTTGATAAAAAATCATATTTTTTAGTGGTAGATTCCTTTTCCAAGTGGATAGAATATGCAGAAATGCATGGTTATACCACTAAAGTAGTTATCAAAAAATTAAGGGAATTATATGCCCGATTTGG